TCGTGTCAAACTCGGGGGCTCTTCGCCACCGAATCCCAAACCCAGCTGTCTCCAGTCGAGTTGCTCTGCCGCCTCATTCGTCGATTCCTTCTTTGGAGGAGAAGCGTCTCCCTCCTCGCCGTACTCTCGGTTCTCTCGATACCTGCGCTTCGCTACGCGCCAGTCGGTGACCTTGAACCCCTCGCCATACTCTCCGCACTTGTCCTCCGCGAACTGTACGGCTTCATCCAGCGTTTGAGGTTCGTAGGCCCGTACTTGTGTTTCTGTCGTCTCATTATTAATGCCGTTGATGAACGCCTCCACGTAGGACTCTGCTGGAATGCGCTTGCCGAACCCAATGTTAGTCAGGCTGGCCGCGTAGTCGCTCAGGCGCTCGCCGGGCTGCTGCACTCTCGCTGCGAGCCGCTGCTGGATGCGGAACATATTGTCCCGGCTTCCATACTTCTTCCGCATCTTCCTCACCAGGTAACTGAGGTTTCTATCTTCCGGTTGCATGTGTTCGGTCAGCGTGATTAACCATTTACTGGCTGCATCCCTCAGATGAGCAGTGGCTCCGTAATACAGCTCCTCGGCCGTCCACGAGTCACCGCCAAGGCCTGCTTGCCGTTCTACCTCCTGAGGTATCGTCGCTAGCCACGCTTCCACGGACTCGCTCGACTTGCCGCTGAAGTCTTCAATGTGCAGCCTCTTCATCTTGTGTCTGCGTGGCTGGTCGGAGGATGGTGGGGCCTGAATCACAATTGGTTGCTGCGTCGATGGTGCTGGCGCTGGGGCTGGTGGCTGCACCACGAATCGTTTCATCATTGCACGCTGCTGCCCCGGTGTCAACGCATCCCACCAGGCCATCGATTCCAGTTCGTCGTCTGCTGTTTGCGTCGGGTTCGCCGGTGATGCTCCTGTTCCTCGGGCGGTGTGATCATTCGGGGACCTACCGTCACGTCCGCCGCCACCTCTATTGCTATTGTTGCCATTTTCGGCGCCACCGTTTCGTTGTCCACCTGCTCGGCTGGCATCGTCCTCTGCGTCGTCGTCGCTGCTGTCTCCACTTCCGTCATCACCAGCCGGCGCGATGGTAACACTGCTGCTCACCGCCACTTCATCGTTGCCGCCGTTCCCGTCACCCGTATTCAAGCGGATGCGAGTTCTAGGCTGGCGCGTCTTCCTCGGTGCTACTGGCGTAGTAGATGATCGTCGAGTCGTTGCACTGGTGGGCGTCGTGCTCGACGTCGGCGTGCTCGATCTCCTAGCTGCACGGGCTGCTCGCTTAGCCATTGTCGTCTGCTGCGTTGTCTTCCTCGTCAATTCAGCGTCTGCTTCTTTTCTTCTCTCTCTTCCTCTTCCTGCTCTCTCTCTCTCTCTTCTTCCTCGTGGCGGGGTTCGTGCCACAGGGCCAAGCTTCAATAGAAGGCCTCTGTATGACCACCAAGTAAGCTTCTCGAAATATGAACTTTGGGTCGTAGCTCACTGCGCGCCTTAACCAGTTGAGTCAATGATCACCGTGGTCTGTCAGTTGAGGTGGTCGTCCACGTCACGTAGCTGCCAGTCCTGTCCCTGATCAGAAGACGGTGTCCGGTGGCCACAGAAACCGCTGCCCTAAAATACACCTACAGCTATCCTAGCACACGCACAGCAAACGGTAATTGAGTTCCTAGGCCGCGTGCACGTAAGGGAATCCGTCGAGATCTATTGCCAGATCGCTCGCGCGTGATCCCGGGGGCTCTTAGTACCGGGGGCTAACTCCACTACCCTCTCTTTGGGGACACGTCACGACGTTGCGGGCTGCTGATACCGACGATCCTACGGGGCTACAATACCCGTCTCTCTGACACACTCTTGGGAAACCCTCACACTCAAGGACTAGCACTGCGATGACACTGGCTAACTGGCTAACTGGTTGTTGTACTTGTCTTCTGCGCGAAACGTATCAGACCGATACGCTCGTGGCTCTCTCTGGAAGCACTTGCCTGCTTCTCTGCTAATCTCGAACTGAGGCTATCCCTCTACTACCACATGCACTTGGTCTCCCGCTCCCTCATTCAAGCAACAGCGACTCCTCACGAAGATCGCCATTCGCCGCACACTTGCCTTGAGTATACCGGGTCGTCTGGATCTTCAACCGGTTGCTCCTTTAAGGTGGCAGCTGCTCGAAGGTGGATGTTGACTTATCCACTTCACTGTCTTGTCCTCCTGTCCGTTGATCTCCGTCGCTCCTCGCCTGCCGTCCATGTCTGGATAAGATGAGCCCCTAAGAGGATTTCATCCGCTTACTGTACTCTGGTACTGTTCTCTAGACATGGCCAGCGGTTTCTGGGTGGTGACTATGACGGATCGGGCTCGCGCGATATCCGCATTCATCTTACCGTTTGGACTGTTCGAGTGGAACCGGATGCCATTTGGATTGAAGAACGCACCCCAGATCTACCAACGCCTGATCGATAATGCCCTCTATGGACTCACCCGGATACCGGAACCCGAGAAGGGTGGATCCGGGGAAGATCATACGGAAGTGGATCCATTCGAAGCGGGGGAGCCAGGGGATCCTGGGCCCCGTCTGTGTTAGGACGCAGATCTTATATCGACGACAATTTAATCCCATTGGGATCGTGGGATCAGTTGTGCGAGAGAGTAACCTCCCTACTGGGGGCGTGTACTAAGTGGAACCTCTCTATCAGTGTGGTGAAGAGCTATTGGGGGATGCGCAAGGTGGATTACTTAGGCCATCGAGTCTCCAAGGAGGGATTGGAGGCGAATCCTAAGGACCTGTCTTCGTTAGCCGACTTGTCCTTCTCACAGTCGTTACGGGCGATGCAATCCTTCTTGGGCAGTTTGAATTACTACAGTCGGTTCATCGAGGATTACGCACTGTTTGCTGCGGTACTCTATGAATTGAGATAGGTGGATTTTGCTGCGATGGCCACTTCGGCTGTCCGGATCAAAATCCAACAAGCTCTGGCCCTGAATATGTCGGATCCACGAAGGGATCCAAGTAGTACGACGCCAGAAGAGGACCTAAAACAGGAGCTGGATCCGCCCCGGGACCAAAAGAAAGAGGATCCAATCAGGATAGAGACGACAGATCAGAGCTCAGAAGAGGCGGAATCTCGGTGGATCCGAGCTCAACACGCGTTCGTGGAGCTAAGGAACAGAATCGCGACCACACCTATCCTCCGTCATTTCGACCCGGAACGCCAATCTACGGTGATAGTTCATGCCAGTGACTGGGCAGTCTCAGCAGCTCTGGTACAAGAACATGAGGGGGTCTGTCGTCAAGTCACCTTCGTCAGCCGGACACTGAAGCCGAATGAACTGAACTATGGAGCGGTGGAGAAGGAGATACTCGCGCTCCTGCGCGTGTTGGATCTAAATTACAACCTGCTGGTGGGAAGATCCATCCGGATCCTGACTCGACACTCTACGCTGGCTTGGTTGTTCAAGTCGACCGGCTTACAGGGACAGTGGGCAGCCTTACTCTCACCTTGGACACTGGAGATTGTGAAATGTTCGAAAGGGGAAGACGCGATCCTGGGAGCTGGCCACGAGCATCACTCCTCGAGCTAAGATGGATGAGGCGGTGACTAGCATCGCTCCTAAGAAAGAGCCCAAACGCCGGGTCCAGATCTCGATCCCGACGGTACAGGTGGATGAGGATCTGTACGTCCTGAGTTTCGATGGATCCGCTCGCGTAGGATGCGGAGGAGGAGCATACAGCGCAATACTGTGGAGACTGCCCGGATGGGAAGTTGTACGGGCCAGATCCACTTACGCGGAAGGCCTCACCATCAATGAAGCGGAATATAACGGGCTCCTTCTGGGTTTGGATTTACTAAAGGGACAAGATCCAAAACGACTGGTGATTTGTGGGGATTCAAATTTGGTAATCAGACAGGTGCGAGGTGAGATTGACTGCAAGGCCCCGGCCCTAACACTATTACGGCAGAAAGTGATGATCCACCTGCGTGGTTGGTTGAATCACGAGTTGGTGCATGTCAAGCGAGATTGGAATGACAGTGCGGATAGCTTGGCCAGTGCCGCTTTACGGAATCAATGTGGTGTTGAAGTGGAGAGAGAGGTCGAGCATCAGGTTCTCGTTACGTTGAATCGACTAGACGAAGTGGTGGTAGTTGGATATGGGAAAAGGACAGTCCAGGTGATGGCCGTTACTAGGTCCAGAGGAAGGATTGGATCCAGCCCCCAGATCCTCGAGGAAACATTTGTGAAGAGAGTCCGCATTGAGCGGGTTCTCAAAGCACAGGACGAGGAAGCGTGGATCCTAGGACTAAAGAAGTCTCTGATGGGGGATGTACGAAACCTGAGTCGGGATGATACCAAATCCTACAGTATTATCGCTACGGATTACGCAATGGATCTGAATGACTTGCTCTTCTATTGGTCCCCTTACACAGAGAAGAAAGGATTGGGATCCAGCCCCCAGATTCTCGATGAAGCATTTGTGAAGGGAGTCCGCATTGAGCGGATCCTCAAAGCACAGAAACGAAGAAGCGTGGATCTTGGGACTAAAGAAGTATCTGATGGGGATGTACGAGAACTAAGTCGGGAGGATACCAAATCCTATAGTATTATCTTTACCGATTATGCAGTGGATCTGAATGACTTGCTCTTTTATTGTCCCCCTACGAAGAGAGTCAACGAGGATCGGGATGGATTGATGAGACGGGTGATGCTGGAGACCTTACAACAGGATTTCCTACATCACTATCACGCTAGTTTAGAAGGTGGACATCAGGGAATTGGTCGGACCTATCAACGGATCCGGGAATGTTTCCACTGGCGGGGACTGTTCAAGAGCGTGCAACGATATGTCGGGGAATGTGTGGATTGTGAGACAGGCAAGGGCAGGCCCACAATCGAAGGGGAGTCACCTGGGAATGTCCAAGCGACTTACCCTTTCCAAATCATAGCCATGGATCACATCCCCTCGTTGCCCCAGTCGTTCAAAGGAAACACAGAATTGTTGATCTGGGTGGACCTGTTTACCGGATACGTGATAGCCAAAGCTAGTGCGTCTAGAACTGCGCAAACCATTGCTGAATCGTACGAGGAGTGCATTTTCCGAAGATTTGGGGCTAGCGAGATGATTAGACATATGATCGGGAGCCAGGCTTTATGTCTGATTTCTTTCGAGCATTCAACCGGATCCTGGGGCAGCGACAGCGAGCAACCATGGCATATCGTCCCCAAGCTAACGGGTCGGCCGAACGCATGGTGCAGACGATCACGAGAGCACTCAAGATGTATGTCCAGGATTTGGATCAGAGGGATTGGGATGAGTACGCAGAACGACTCCCCTTTGCGATGAACACCGCCCAAGACAGGATCCGGGGTGATACCCCATTTTACTTGGTACATGGGTGGGATCCCAAATCCACCCTAGAAGCGGCCATTCCGGTATGTAGCACCAAGAAGAGAAACCGAGATCCAAGGCGATGGCGATACCAAGTCCAGAAATACTACCGGCAAGCCAGATCCCAAGTGAACGAACGGCTGCGGAGTGCGATACAGGATCGAGCGGATCGACACAACGAAGACGCCCGTCCGCATCAAATCCAAGTGGG